TTCTGTGGAAATTGTGTTTGACTTGTACCAGATGGTTATAGACAAAACTGTATAAACATCCAGGGACTTGGAAAATCAAAATATTAGTCAATGGTTGATGGGTTTTTTTGAGAGGATATATCTATGGTGGTTTTTCTCAGTACGGTATGGAAATCAGAAGTTGATAACACTATCTGATTCGGAGGTGAATTTTACAACTACAAACTTTGACCACGAAAGTATCCCTTCATACATTTATACTACCAATTTCATGTTTTACCATTAGCCTTTACTTACCGTTAAAACTTAAACGTGATCATTCAGGATGGGGTACTATAAGGATTATGTTACTTCATGATCATTATTTAATCTGAAAGTTCGGAATATATCATTCTTGATAAAGACAATTATTATCAGTATAATATACCCATATCATACCAAATTAACGTCATGTATTGTGAAAGCTTTATACCCATTACTTTCAGATCAGCTAAGTATGGTTTATTCCTGACCTCAAGCTTCCTTTCAGCTACTTTTCTCTGTCCCTGTCCCAGAAGTGCGGTATTGTTCATCGACTGAGATGGTTGGACCACGTGTTACGTATGCCTGAACACCGATTACCAGTGTGCGCAATGCTGACTAATGTTGGAGACGGACTGAAGAAAGTTAGGGGCGGCCAATCCAAAACGTGACATAGTAAATAAAATGACTAACTTCTGGTTTGATCTATGTTGGTAGATGCAGACTACTTGGTTGGGGTCCGCACGACTATCATAACCAATGGTTGGAAACTTTGGGTGACATGGCTGAGGATCGATCACAATGGTTAAGGTGTATACACTCCTTGACGTCCCCTAAATTGGGATTAAAACTGCTTTATTTTATTTGCATAAAAAAGGTCTATGTATTTTCTATATGATTACTCGTGTTTATGTCTTATCACTAGGATAATAAAGTTTGTGTGTTTCTTAAATCTGATTAGTTCAGGGTGGGTATTTGTTCACTGTTGTTTATCTGTTAAGATTTGGACTATTGAGTGGCTTTAGTCGGTGTAGTATAACAACACAGATTAGTAGATTTTTGTGGTTGGTTCAGGCTTTCGTATAACAGGATAAATATGTATTTATATGAACTTTCCAGTTGTGCTCTATGCATTGTGTGAGGATTTTTCTGAACATTTCACACTGACTTATTAGTCATACCTTTGTCACTGATGAGTTTGACATTGAGTAGGATTTTCCTGTACAAAATTGTATTTTCATAAATCAATTTTAGTTCATTTACACAGTCATTTGGAGTACTACTTTATTTTAAAATAAGGTTGCATTTGAATATAAATGCCCGTTCACAACACGTGGTTGCTTATCCTTTAATCATCGATACTGTTTTTTATTTGAATATTAACGCTTAGCAGTCATATGATTATACTTATGTACTTATCAGTAGGCTTATATACTTCTGAGTGTTTGAAAAAATAATTTAACTGTTAAATAATGTTTTGTATAAGCTACTTCACAAATAACATTTCCTTCTCAATTTCGATGTAATATGGTTTACATATCCGGTCAAAATACTAAAGTAACAATAATCCGTATTGTGTAGTTAAAACTTAGTTGTTCGACAGATTACTTAGTTACACTTTATTTTATTTAAACTTTTTATTTAGATACATTGGTATTCGTTAATGAGCTAAATCTAGTGACTAGTATCGCGTACGAAACCGCAGATCACCATTTTTCTGATCAGTATGAAAGTTGATTAACAATATTAGTTACAGTTAAAAATTTCCTGTTATTTAGTGTCACGCTCTTCCTTTCATTATTCACTGTCACTTAAATGACTTGACCCTAGATTGCGTGGTGATTAGTGTTGCTTTGTTGTAGAAGAGATGAGTTAAAACTCTAAGCCTAAGTTTTAATACCACCAGCCCTAAACTAGTTACATGAAGTACGGATAATAACGTCTAGTTGTTCATCTCGAAATAAAAGTACAAATCGAAACCAAGGATTTACATGACTGTTATCATAAGATATTCGCTTTCCAAACTTGTATATGTTTTGATAAGGAGAAATGTGTGTAAAGTTTCCATGGGATTCGCAAACTTTTATTTATAGATTAGAACTCATTGTTACTTTAGTGAAAGTTAAGCCGAATGAATACAGTAAACCTTGCTGCTTTAACTTAATTATTGTTTATTTTAGCAGTTTCGTAAATCATTTTGTATCTGATCTTTATCCAGTTATTATAAATATCAATTTTTTCTTTAGCTCGTAACTCAGATGAACGTCAAAAGTGGCTAGACGCTTTACAGGAGGCTAGGGATTTACATACGCAGAATTATGCTCTTCTGAATCAGGTTAGTGATTATATAAAGTTATTTTTATTCAACTTAGTAGTCTATTTAGTTAATATGCTCAAGTCATCTAACCAATCACATTTTATTTGCATGTGCTATTTTTGTGTAGTCATACGCGGTAATTGTCTTTTTTTAGTTTTTAATGACAGGTAGTTTTCGATTAAATTTGAAGTAAATAGACGAATTTGAGTTAACACGTTGCAACACTTTTGTATAAAGAAATCATAGATTTGATAATGCAATCTTATTAACCCCTTAATAATGTCAACTGTACAGACTACACCGATGATAATTCTAAATATATTTTTTAATAACTAGATTTCTCTAACAGCACATAAATACTTACAAACCACTTAACAGGCAAAAATATTCTATTATAAATATTCTTACCGTTTTAAATTACTCACTGTAAATATAGAAAATATTGTACTCTAGATTCGTCCTTCACTGACTATAGTTCATGTGATGTCTATATGTTTGTCATTGATGATTGAAATATTCGTTTTTATATATAGATACCTTTTTGTTTTTTTATCATCAACTTGCGGTTACGTTCACGGAACGTAGCATATACTGCTTCTTCCCTCTACCTGATTCGTATGTCTGGTGAAAGTGATTCAGGAAAGTATTAAATAAGAAAACTAAAAGTTCTGTTGATGCTAATGGTTTAATCATTAAAGGATCTAGCACTACAACTCATCGGTACAAATCTCTTCGTTTCGACGGTTTAGTTGAGATAAAAAATACTAGTTCAAGAGAAACCAAAAAATTAAGGTAACAAAAATAGTGGAACACAGAAAATTAAATTGGTAGGGGTTTAATTAAAGGTGAAATGTTATTTTGTGCCATTTAGTTTCATACAGATAGAGTCAGTTTTTATCCAGTATCCTGAACTTCAGTCAACACTGGGTGTGGATCGAGTGTTTTATACAGTTCTAGTGTATAGAGTTTCTCTTAAACCCCAAATCTAGGTTGTTGACTAGTATAAAATCTAAGTGTTTAGAGACTAATCGATGTGTATAAACTTAATGTTTCTAGATCTTTGAAATGTAAATTTTAATGACAACAATAATAGTAGAGTTTTATAAAAATCATGAAAGTGTCACTATGTGAATTCAATTGAATACGATAAATATTATAAAAATGTTGAACAGTTGTTTAAAGATTCATTCTTCCACTGACTGCAGCTCAGACGATGTAAAAGATGAGTTTTACAAAAAGCTCTCCGACCTTCTCCGAAAAGCTAGGGGCTCTGATGTAGTAATAGAGGCTGGTGATTTTAATGCTCAAGTAGGTAAAGTAAGCGAAAGGGAAAGATTCCTGGGTGAATCTTATGATGTCGCGGCTCAAAGAACAGATAATGGCGACCGTCTGTTGCAGCTATGCTCAGATAACCGCCTGTTTTTTGCAGATACTAACTTTAAGCATAAGGAAAAACATCTTTTGACATGGCGACCCCCGAATTCGTCCCAACATTGGACCCAAATAGATCACATTGCTACCAGCCACCGATGATAGTAGACTGTCGCTCATTCTGGAGCACGTGCTTAGACTCAGATCTTGCTCTAGTGCAAGCGCGTATTTGCCTGCGTCTTACTGAACGTGGGAAAGATGATGCAAGGAAACCCCTTAGGGTCCTACTTGATGATAGTCAGGCTAAGAGTATATTTGAGGAACAACTAGCAAAAGTTCGGCAGCCATGTAAGCGATGCCCGCCCCGAGGCAGCGTGGAATGACATCCGAAAAGCTGTGGAAACAGCAGTGATGTCTGCTAGTAAGGTAAACCACAAGATTAGGGAGAAACACTGGATCTCAGCAGCAACTACCGCACTGATAGATGTTCGAAAACTCATTCCATCTGGCTATGAACATCACGAAGAGCGGAGTCAGCTTAAGTACGAGCTGACAAGAAGCCTACGCAATGATCGCGAACAGTGGTGGGTGGCGAAAGCAAGAGAGATAGAAAAGGCAGCGGCAATAGGTAATAGCAGACAATTGTTCAGACTTGTTAAGGAAACCGGTATTAGGAAACCGACTGTTAGCGAAACAACCTCAGAGAAAGATGGACATATTATACATTCTCAATCCGGGAGATTGGATCGATGGGCAGAAAACTTTAGGGATCAATTCAACTGGCCTTCAGCCACACTTCGGTTTCCCACGATCGCCAGTCAACCTGAATGGCAAGTTAGTGTACATCCTCCGACTCTTTACGAAGTTGAAAAAGCCATAGGAAATCTGAAGCGAGGGAGAGCAGCAGACCCTGACAGGTTTACTCCTGAGATTATTAAGGATAGTGGTTCAGTATTAACAGTGAGATTAACTGAGGTCTTAGGTAGAATTTGGGAACTGGACATAATCCCATCTGACTGGTCTCAATCACTGATTGTGCCAGTCTTTAAGAAAGGATAAAAGTCCTCTTGTGACAATCACAGAGGAATCAGTTTGACTAATATAGTATCTAAAATATTAGCTTCAATAATACTTCGACGCCTAACCAAAGCTCGTGAAGAACAGACTAGAGAAAATCAGGCTGGTTTTCGACCTGTAGGTGGTTGTATAGATCAGATATTCACACTACGTCAGGTTCTAGAACACAGACACACACTCAGACGCCCCACAATGGTAGTATTTCTCGACCTTAAGGCGGCATTCGTGTGGTTCTATGGCAGTGTTTGTCACTGAAAGGAGTACCAAAGAAGTACATTAAACTTGTAAAGGCTCTCTACGCGAACACAATTGGTAGAGTGAGAGCTTATGGCGAACTGTCATCAGAATTGATCACCTCAAGTGGTGTTCGTCAGGACTGTCCACTCTCTCCATTCTTGTTGTTTGTCGTCGATGTACTTTTAGAGATAACACTTTCCTCATCTGAATTTCAAGGGGTTGAACTTCTACCGGGAGATTCACTTTCTGACCTAGAATATTACCGATGACATAGTTCTATTTGGTGAAGACGCTGACAAAATGCCGAGTCTTCTGACCACTCTAAGCAACAATGCAAGCATGCTTGGGATGCGATTCTCCCCCTCAAAATGCAGAATGTTGCTTTAGGATTGGGTTGCATTGACACCCGAACTAATGATAGGGAGTAAAGTAGTTGAGCGTGTCTACCGCTTCACTGATCTTGGAAGTCTCATTATCCCTTGTGGTCTGGTGTGTGACGAAATCTCAGCACGGATACAGAAGGCTCGACTAGTTTTGCCAACTTGCGTCATTTATGGCGTAAGCGAGATATCCGTCTATCAACCAAAGGACGTGTTTACTGCACAGCAGTTCGTTCCATCCTACTTTATCGCTGTGAAACATGGCCGGTAAGAGTAGGGGATATTCGTAGGTTACTAGTATTCGATCATACATGTCCTCGAAACATTGCCCGTATATCGTGGGACCATCGAGTAAGTAATGCAGTTGTCAGGAAACGGGTACTGGATAAGGATGGCAAATCAATTGATGAAGTAGTAAAACCTCATCAGTTGAGATGGCTGGGACATGTGTTACGTATGCCCAACGACCGACTGCCTCGACGTGCGATGTTCAGTGGTGTAGGAGTATGTTGTAAGAAAGCTAGGGGTGGCACAATTCCATGAAGTCACTGACAAGTGGACTGAATCATGTTGGTAGGTGTAGACTACCTGGTTGGGGACTGCGAGATGATAGAAACCGATGGTTAGAAATCCTGAATGACATGGCTCAAAATGGTTTGCAATGGCGCAGGTGCATCCACTCTTTGTGTTCTCCCAAATTCTAATCTCCTGAATTCTTTTTGTCCCTTTCTTTTTTTCTCTTTCCAAAATTATTTCACTGTATTATACTCCTTGAATGACATCTTCAAGCCCTTGTCTTTCCGATCACTGCTTATACTTTTACTACCTCTACCACAACGGAATTTGAATCGATTATTGTATCTGTGTGCTAATGTGGTATGGCAACTCGAACTGATGTACGTACGTACGAAGTTCCATGTTGTTACTGACTTTTAATGTGTGGCTAATTTGATTTAGAATAAATTCTTCGTGTTAATTAAAATAGTCAACCTGTTAAACAGCAATATTAACTTCAGTGTTTCCTGATATTTTATATCCAACATAGTTTGTTACTAGTAGAAATATTGTTTTACTCAAAAGTGGTCTCATTGGCAATATGTGGTAAGATAGGAATCTTGACGTAATAAACAAAGCCTGTTTATAATTCTTTGTTTAGCACTGTTGTAAAGTTCTCTTACTCTTGGCAAGCAAGTTTTTAAGACATAAGTGGTAAGTTTATATTGTTTGGATAACATATAAAACTTAGTGATTCTTACTGAGTGCTGAAATTTTTCCCTGGAAAAACTTATTTATTCTGAAGGTTTTGGTTATTCATTTTTCACGAACTGTTGCCTGTTGAATATGTTACTGATTTTAAGACTAAATACTCAGCTGATTCGTTGACTAGGTGATATGATCATCGATCATACTGAATGTATTACCCATTATTTCTTCGTCTAACTTTTTCCAAACGTAATGCGTTTTCAAGCGTGAAGAATTTCCTTGTCAAACTGCGATTTAGGGTTTTACGGAATTACAGGTTTATTAAACTATGAATGTTCTGTTTTAATTCTGCTTCCCTATTTTTGCTCAAGTCCTCACAGTTGGAGAAGCAATAAGTTGATAACCAACCGTGGAAAAGGTCCATGAGTTAAGGTTGTAAATTACAAGCACCCTCACTGAGATATTAAGGACACACAATCAATCTGTCTACTTTTTAATTACTAGTGCTTTAAATAGGCAGTTTTATGGTTTGTAATTTCGTGACTCGAATTTCCTGTCATTGCCACTTGCATTTCCTCTTTTTTTGATTCGATAAGTTATGAGGTTTGAAATCACCAGTAATGCGAATGCTCGTTGTATGTGTAACGGTCGTGGTAAATCAGTAACCTAGTTAATTAGTGGGTATTAAGTCCAAAGCTCAGTGGTAACGTTAACACCGATACAAGTACATTTATCTTGGTTTTTGTCAAAATTTGAACAGTCGCATTAATCGGACGACGGGTAAATAGAAGACATTCAATATTGAAACACTTTAGTAAAGATCGCATAGTAGCCCTCAAATGCCCTGGTACGGCCGAGAGTGGGGAGAGTCCGCTCTCCCTCTCGAAATGCCCTCACATGGCCACGCGTATATAGCCTCTACCAGGGAAGTCCTACTCACTGACTTCTCGTGGCGGGGGTGTTGTTTACGACAATGAGAGGACGAAAAGCGAATGTTCGGCGCCTTAACCGGGTTGGTGGACATGGAGAGTCCACCTAGGGGAGTTGGAAAACCCTGATTCCAAACGAATGGTGCTCATGGGCTCCAGTATCCTGAGGGAACAAATGTCGTATGAACCAATTGTTGGTTACCGGCTTCCATGGGACTGCATCTCCACACGTTGCTCCACTTTCTTGTTGATCAGACCTTCGGGTCGAGGGCTCCGGGTGTGGCCCCCTAAGAAAACCACTTGCTTCGGTTTGGGCACCCGGGCAGTATCACAGCCCTCACGCATATCGAATGAGATTTGTGTGGCGCATATGTATTTGGTGCCTCTTTGTACCAATACCTATATGTTGAAATAAATAATAAGTAAATAGTAAAGATCGCATTGTATAAAACCAAAAAGTTCAAGCGTTTTTTGCCTAGTGGTGTTCAAACTTCAAGAGAATAATGAAACTGAAGTAAATTCACCCGACATTTTCCGAATGAAACACTAAATCCACCACAAAGCTACTGACTGTCATACTTAAACCATTAAGCTCACTGAATATCCTCTTGATGTTGAGTTCGTTAAGACAGATGTTATTTTAGATGTGTTCATTACTTAACACAGACCCACAGCCGATTATGTAGTGATTTCGAATTCAAGAGAAATTTAGTTGACTACTTTAACATAATTAATAATTTGTTCCCAATATATATTGGTCATCTTTACAACTTGTTTCGCAGCATCTATGACTCAATTTATGTATCATGTTATTTTTCAGTAACCAGTAACGTTTAATTTCATAAATATTTTGTAACTACGTGTAGGCTATTACAATGTTGTCTGCTGACGTCGAAGTTTCTCGGTACATGGAATTTTTTATTGCCCACATTATTCAAAGATCAATGTCACTCAATTTTTCCGTCAGTCATCTACAACGTAGGACCAGGCACATATATGCATCGGTCCAAGTTGCCATACCTCATTAACACAACAAGATGGACACCGGATTCATAAAAGTAGTTAATTCAGAGGTGGTAATATATAAAAGAAAGATTGCATATAAGGATATAGTACAGGAAGAAAGAATTAGTTCGTAGAAAGATATGAAGCGAATTTTGATCTCTTAGTTTAAGGGAAGACAGAGAGTGTATACACCGACGCGATTGTGATCGATTCTGAACCATGTCACCAAGAGTCTCCAACCATTGGTTACGATAGTCACGCGGACCCCAACCAAGTAGTCTGCATCTACCAACATGGCTCAGACTAGAAGTTAGTGTCTTCAAGCACTGATGCCACGTTTTGGTTTGGCCGCCCCTAACTTTCTTCCAACAATCCCCAACACCGGTTAGCATTGCGCGTCGTGGTAATCGGTGTTCAGGCATACGTAACACGTGGCCCAACCATCTCAGTCGATGAAGATTCACAACCTCATTAACTGATTTGCCATCATTTTCTAATATCCTGCGTCGAACCTCACTATTACTTACCTGGTTATCCCAGCAGATGCCAGCAATATTTCTAAGGCATCTGTGGTCAAATACTAGTAGCTTACGAGTGTCCTCTACTCTTCATGGCCATATTTCGCTACCGTAAATTAAAACAGAACGGACTGCTGTGCAGTATACTCGTCCTTTTATTGATAGACGGATATCTCGCCTTCGCCATAGGTGACGTAAGTTGGCAAAGGCCAAACGAGCTTTTCGAATCCGTGCTGAGATTTCGTCAGACACCAACCCATTAGGGCTGATCAGACTTCTAAGATAAGTGAAGTTGCCAACGCGTTCGACCACTTCACTCCCTATCCTTAGTTCAGGTGTTGACGCAGACCAGTCCTGAAGCAGCTTGCATTTAGAGGGAGAGAAGCGCATTCCAAACATTCTGGTATTGTTGCTTAGTGCTACCAAAAGACTGCATTTTATCAGCGTCTTCTTTAAACAGGACTATATCATCTGCGTATTCTAAGTCGATAAGTGGACCTCCTGGTACGAGATCAATACCCGAGAATTCAGTAGACGAGAATGTTATTTCCATCAATAGGTCTATGATGAAGTTAAACAAAAATGGAGAAAGTGAACAGCCTTGACGGACACCACTTGAGGTTGCAAAGACAGATGACAGTTCTCCATAAGCTCTGACTCGACTAATAGTGTTCTAGTAAAGAACCTTCACAAGGTTTATGTACTACTGAGGTACGCCTTTCCATGACAGACACTGCCACAGAATCTCGCAGTCTACGGAATTAAATGCTACTTTTAAGTCAAGAAAGACCACGATTGTCGGACGCCGATAAGTGTGCCTATGTTCTAGAACCTGACAAATGGTGAATATGTGATCGATGCAGCCACGACCAGGTCTGAAGCCAGCTCGATTCTCTCGTGTTTGCAATTCATCCTTACTTTTCGATAGTTGATATTATAGAGCATTTTATTTGTTCATTTTTACAGACCAATCGTTTACTGGAACATCCTTGCAGCCTTTCCGAATTCGACCGTCGTATCGTAGAGGCAGATGCTTTTTTACAAATTCTCATAGATCAACATGAGGTATATTTGAGAAATTATTCTTAATTTCCAAGTTTTATTTGTTCACCGTGTCCATTTTCTGTAGTCCTATATAATTGTTAACATTTTAACCGTTCTAATCAGTTGATTGTAACTAGAAAATTATAACTTATTCGATAAACTTGGCTTCTAGATGTTTGTTTTGATGGATAAAACGTGAAACCCAACCTTGCGATGGGAGCAGCATAAACCCAATGTTTCAATATACTAGATGCTAGATCCTCAGAAATCGCTTGGTAAACGTCTTAATTTTTTAATTTTACTTTGAAAATCTGAATTTCTCGTTTTCGCGCCAAAAGCACCTGATTTTACCTTCAGAGTGTATTTCCCACTTGGAAGGACCATAAATGTCATTGGTTCGTTGCCTCTTTTAATACACTACTTTGTAACATTTCCTAAAGACCTTTATATACTGTGTTTATAAATGCTTGAGGTGCGTGCTTGGTTTGTTCGTGCTTCTAGCTGCCTGTGGAATATACATTTCGCTCATCCCAACCTGGTCTTCTCCCTCTAGTAGCAGGTCTGGAACACATCAGAATAGTTAGCTTGTCTTTTCGTTGTTATTATTATTATTATTATTATTATTATTATTATTATTATTATTATTATTATTATTATTATTATTATTATTATTATTATTATTATTATTATTATTATTAATGGCTTTATTCAATATTATATTTTGGTACAATATAGAATTCTCAGCACAGGTTATTTCAACAAGTTTCTTACACAAAAATACAGAAACAAAGACAAAAAGGAAAAAAAGGTTTACAACAATCTGAAAAACTACAACTTTTCAAATTAGAGACATGTTAAGGATGCAGGTTATTGACTAGGTTAACTCTAACAACCTGTTCGTCACAGAGTATATTTGCTAGGTAAGGTATTATAGAACTTTTATACTTTTGCTTGGGCGTATGGATTTTAATGTAATTACGTCTCGTTCTACCAGAAGATATACAAGGAGAAAGATAAGAGTGAAGGGGATGGTTAGTATCTGATAAAATAACACCTACCAGTAGTTTGCATGATTTTAAATGTCTATCCACAACCATATTAACTATGACCTCGAAAGATTCACCACACATCTTGCTAACTGCCTTCAGCACTCTCTGCAATACAGCAAAGTCTTTTCTCAAAAGCCCGGGAAAGAATAATGGAGAACAGTAAAGCATAATAGGTAATTTGCAAGAATTGACAAATTGTAAGAGTAAATGACGAGTAATCGAACATACTTCCTACCCTTTCCTAAGTTGAACACTATATTGTAATGCAGAACAGCAACAGCATCTCGGGTGCTTCTTTTGCATCTTTAAGTAAACTGATACGGATTAATATACTCTTTTATTGCAGGCTGAAGTGGAAGTATTAATAATTTTTACATTGTTTTGAGGAAGGTTGAAGTTATTGCAATAGTTCCAAAATTTTTACATTCTTATCATCAGATACTTTCTTGGGTACAGGGATCATCTTCGTCTTTCTCCACATTTTCGGTATGAGATTAGATGAGAAGGATCTGTTAAGGATAGTCGTGAATGAATAACATAGGACGTCAGCACATTTTTTAAAAAGGAGGTTTGGGATACCATCAGGTCCTAAACATCGGGATGAATTAAGTGACTGGAGACATCTTCGGACATAATTTCAGCGAAACTAGGAACACAGCTATTCTTTAAACCTGTGGTTAAAGGGAGCATCACATCAGATGACTGACGTACAAAAGACTTATTTAGGTCACAAACAATCAGCTGGCTATCGCTCCTACTCTGTCTGCCACCTGTAGGTTCATTAAAGAGTTTTCACATACTTGGAAAGTTTTTGCAAGATAAGAGTTTTTGAGTAAACATAGAGTTGCTAATTCTTCTTTTCGTTAGCCATTTTGGGTGATCTCGTAATCTCCAAACATAGCACAATATTTCTATGATTTTTTTAAAACTCATCATCGTTGTTACTTTGGTTTCTTCTATTCTCTGTTTTTACTTGTCTCGTTTGATACATCCTTTATTTCTTTACGAATATCAAATCAATGAGATACAATCAGTAATATTTACTTAATCTCGTAAGCAAAATTAAGATAATCCTTTAAGTTTGAAATGATGTCCAGAGAATCAAAGTCCACTAAACTAAATAATTTGCTCATATAACGCACTTCGAATAATTGCGTGCTAATCTAAAGCAGAATAATTATTTAGTGATTGTTTAGACTGTTATAAAAATGTGTGTTTCAGTAAGGACTGTAGACCACATTCCAAATGAGTAGGTTATTGTTCGTGTGCATTAGCAGTATATTTGCTCAGTTGAAGACATTACAGGTCCTTAATTATTGATAACTTATTACTTTTTCACAACGACGTATTGATTGGATACATACTTTCAAAACAGAGTACCATGTTCACTAGATCAACAATAGTGAAATTGTGTTATAATTAATTTCTAGTGCTTGTGAGGTATTATCATTATTGTCAACACAAATTTGTACTTAATTGTTTGAAATGGTCCCCTTTTTTAACCAAAAGGACCAGAATTATGAACATGTAAGATTTTTACAGTCTTGTAATGTAATTATCCTTCACACACTGAGCATGGTTTGAAGGTTAGTCAACGAATTTGTTTATCATTTCTACATATCAATACAGAATGTTTTGGGCAGCATGATTCTGCAGACCCAAACGTTTTTTTTTTAAAATCTCAAAAGAGCTTGTACAAAGACCTAAAACTGTATATCAGACTATTATGTATTGAACTGTCAAGATACTCCTATATTTTTAACGCTGCGCAAGTTAATTTGGTTCTTCATATAATTCATCAGTTTTTTAAAAACTCGAAAGTGGTCGCTTCGCTAACTTGATTTTTGTCTTATTCGTTTGTATACTAATCTCCTCACTTAACTTCCATCTGATTAGTGTTTTTTTTATTCTATCCAACAAGACTTGTTATTTGATTAGGAGGAAGTTACATAATGAATCGTTTAAGATGAATAACAATGGGATTAAATTAATCGTAAAATATTATTTTATTTGTTTCTCGTTTTGTTAGTTATATTCTTCAACTTATATTTGAAGGAGAAACTAAGTACTAATCGTAACTGTATTATAATTGGATTATGTGCTTATCGTTTCATTACTTCCAGATCACCCTACTAGTTATGGTATAATGGTTAAAAGTATTCATGTTTCTACAGATATTAGATCATAGTTTCGATCTTTACTCCACATTAGTCTTTTCCGTTACTGCTTGGTATCATGTTCATGCCTGGTGATGTTTGGTACACAGATTACGCTCATGAGAAGATTGCTTATCTGCATATCATTTGTGAATATCGTTTGTAATGTACCAATCCGACCAACTTGATCACCTACCAAACTATTCCTTTCGTATTTTCGTACACCCAAACATTTTATCCTACATCTATTTACCGTTATTTAGTCTTATCTTTGTTTTTTGGAAGGTCCAGCAACTTAAACAATTACTGTGTGGTGCAAATTTTTTCGTGTTTGTCTTTGTGTAACTTTGCACAAATTTTTGTGTCTGTTTAAAACATATGATGAACAATATATGTGGTTGGTTAGGTTAATGATTTTCTTTTGGTCGATCTTGAAGCCTGAGTTTTACGACTTAAAATTAATTTGGCAAACTGCCGTGAACATATGGAATCCGGGTATTGTATCATTCCTGTCTTTTTTCTCCCGCTATTTTTCTTTCAATTAAAGTGCAACCGATTAGTTATTCAATCAGCCCGATTGTTTATATATATATATATATATATATATATATATATATATATATATATATATATATATATATATATAAGTTTGCGATTGACTATAGATATTTACCCAACTTTTCTTTGTAAAATTTCTTAAAAATCAACTTTAGACGTATAATTGCATTTATACTGTTTGATTTCAGCAACTGGTCAGTCATATTCCATCGTCCGATGAATGTCGGCCGGAGATTATGGGTGCTGTCACTTTTCGGATGCAAGTAAGTTAAAGTCACATTAGTTATTACTGAAGTGTTTTGTGGTAAGGCTTATGGAATTTAAAAGTAGTGTTCACTACAAAATAAAATAAGCTAAAAACTTATCATAAACGAAGGAGGAACGACAATTATTTCGTCGCGATTTGGGACTCATTATTCGTGCTCACACACAATTGCATCAAACTCGATGACACGTGGCTTCATTCAATTTCCAATACTACTTAATTAAAATACCTCACTGATACGCATAATTTGTTAAACTGCTAAATAACACACTACACCATTCATTCACATGGAAATTTCTTGTCTTAAATATTTGCACAATTTGCAGTTCATCTTTTTTTGTTACTTCGTGTATTATCATTATTTGTATTAAATGTTCAGTCTCCTTATTAGTGAACTCAATAACTGCAGTTAGTTAACCTTCGACTGTATGTATTTATGAGACAATACTTTTCTACCTAAAATTGTCTTAATTTTTAATTTTACGTGTATTCCTTTTATTTTTACTATCAGTGCACAAAGGCATATGTACGTGGGCATATCAACCATTCCTGAATCTCTTATTAAATTTTTCATGTTTCTATAGATGATTATACCTTTTATGATGTAAATTATTTTTTTGTCTGCGTCGTTTTCGTGGCAGCGACTATTTTGAACGTACATAATATATAAGATGGTGTTGTCTAAAAAACTAAGCAAAAAATGTTGTGCAGATAGTGGTATTTTTTAAAATTTTTGATATATGTTAGCTTGTGAAACGCATCTTGTCACCAGATCTTCGCTTCAACACACACTTCTACGCCCAATTAAACCACACTTGAGGAAGACAGGAATAGAAACTGATTTATTTATTTATTTATTTATTATTATTATTATTATTATTATTATTATTATTATTATTATTATTATTATTATTATTATTATTATTATTATTAGCTTTATTCAATATTATATTATTGGTACAATATAGAATTCTCAGCACAAAGTATTTCAACAAGTTTCCGTTTCTTTCTTCTTGGTCGGTCCTCGCGATAAATACTGAGTGATCGCCAGCTAGATGTTAACAGTCCAGTAAATGAATATCTGAATAATGTACATTCTTTTCGTTGTATATTGCCAGCAACAATATTCTCTCTTTTTGAGCTTTTTGTAACTTTGACAACGAAAGGTTGTACACTTTTCAGAAACGCAGCAGAATAGGTTGTGCGATTAATAGACATAATGATATATTAAAACAAACAAAGATAGATAACTTGTCGAAATATCTAGATGGCAGGAAACAGGTAGCCCAGATGCTCAAGCAGGCCGCCTAGTAGGCCATTTATTCTACCTAGTCTTGATGGACAAATTTAGTTTTGTTCACGGGGACGGTCACTGTACTTGAGTTAGTTAAAACCACTCAATGGTTGTGGCGAAATCGGAACCTTCTTTTGATACGGGTTTCATATCGTAGATGACAAAGTGCTTAGTTGACTACCTGGAGGTCATTACTTTGGATTCTTTCTCAGCTCACGACGTTTTGTAGTTTCACTCACCACTTCCGTATGCAAATCTCAGCTAATGAACTTCATGATAGTTCACTTTTTAGTATTTTGTGGCTTTAAAAAAGGTCCATGAAAGTGAAATATATGCTTAGGCTGCGATGTCTTCAAAGCATTATTAGCTTGTGGAACGATCGAATGAGCAATTTTGACTTTCAACGTCTGGTACTAAGGAAAGATGTCGAATTGATTGATAACGTTGTGAATGTTCATGAATTTAGGTGGTTGGGACGTATGTTACACATGCTTATTCCCCTCTTACCTCGGTGTAGAGTATTAATTGATGTAGGACTAGGTTGAAATAAAGCTAAGGGTGACCAAGCCAAAATCTGGCATCAGTCCATGAAATCGTTGACTGTTGGTCTGAGTCGTGCCGGTAGATGCAGACTACCTGACTAGAGTCTACGCGGTTATCACAACCACTGGAGATGTGTAACATGGCTTAGAATCGGTCACAATGACAAAAGTGTATTTACTCTTTATCTTCTAAACCTTGAGTCGTAATATTCCTCCATACATATATTTTCATTCTGTCTCAAACCCTATCGTGGTGCTTTAGTTTCCCTCATTATCATTACTACTATTATTGTTCCAACTCAGTTATTCATCTTGTTACTTTCGTCTCGTATTGTAGGGGTATAGATACTTTGAATGACACAGATTTGTGATAGGCTGTACATTGATTATGATGGACTGATTATACAATCACAGCTGTCTCATACCATTGTTGAATTATGCAGTTCGCTCATAGTTCATTTTTTTGTCAAAAATCATAAATCGAGGTGTTCCACACCTTGACCTCATATCGCGGTTGCATTCCGCAGTACTTCCAATTCCTTTGTGACTAATATATTGTATGCTGTAATCATAAAGTAAAGAAAAGCGCTGTTTACTAAGTAGGTATTACAAAGAAAACAAAGAACATGTGGAACACACTAATCTATTTGGATTTAAACTATGACAATTCACTTTGAATCATAGCCATTATCAATTAGTAACTAGTCGGAAATTAATGAATAATTTTATACTAGGATTTATATTGGTGGGTTTATTCAACTTTGAAAGCGACCCTCTCAAATCCAGTTCTTTAAAAGCTGATATTCTGTTTAGCTATACATCATTCTTATTTGTAGCCATCTGAAAACTTTTTCCACGTTATTTTACGAAGAATACATTACATTTTCATTCTAGTTTCTAGAATTATTTTTATGTTCACTCCATTTATCAGGGAAGTGTCATCGAAACAATTGTTACCACCCAAGACAAAATTTAACCATATTTCTATGTGTGCATACCACGTTGTTCAACTTGTCCGTTTTATTCTTTACTAATTTCGTGTACTTAATCCTTACAAATCACAATGAATATATTTGACCTGAATTTGTGACTGCTAAATAAATATTTACTCACAAATGTGAATATTGAATAGTGATATAATAAAATATTTATTGCTTACTGTACTACAAAACTTTGCCCACGAATGTAAAAGGATTTGTCAAGTTGTAACTGTATACGACTGTCTACGTAAGCAAAGTCGTAATATTATGTTTCATAAACGTCTTTCTAGATTGTGCCATTTTACAAGCTGCTTTTATTTACCAGTTGTTAATTTTTCGAAACTATACGAATATGAAATTTGATATCATAACTGCTTTCATCATTAAAACCTTTGTCAAATCGTTTTCTTTCATGCACAAATGTTTGTCACGGTTCTTTCTTTTAATATAGCGCACACAGACACGAATTTATTATAATTTATGTTTCAGTACCAGGTTTAAGTGTTTGGTTCTTCGCATATATCAAATAATGTGGTCTTTGAATGATTATTGTCTAGTTATTGTAATGGTACGTTCAGGCAATTGAATTTAAGTCTAACCGTTGGTAATAATTGATAAGTTGTACTGTCTCTCCTGTGTAGTGTCATTACCTCCCATATATGAACATAGACGTGTACCTGGTAACGAAGTTTTACCACTGTTGATCTGATCATCGCGAGGCTTCTGTATCTAGTTTATTTTCAACACTATTGACTCAACATTTAGTGTAGTCGACTAGGATTCATTACCTACACAATACTCCTCAACTAGTACCAAGATTACACACTTTATAAACCCAAAATTCGTCTAGCAATCTTCAAAGGGATTATTCCTCAAATATATATAACCTCAGCTTATATTTTACTTTTGGAGGTTATATAATACAGCGGTGTTTGATACAGAACACCAGATTCGAATGGTTTTAGGATATTCTCACTCATCTATTTCTCTTGATAATACCTAATATTTGATTGAGTAACATATCATCATCAATAGTTTTTGTTTATTTTGCAATGATTGGTAGAGTATCTGGTCGATACATTGTCAATCAGAGAAGAAACCTACCAAACTGTCTTGAAATCACAGCTTATTTGTTTCAGTTAGACGATGAATTATTGTTCAGAAGAACATATAAAGGATATTGGTTAAGATAATTTATATTTACTCAAGGTTTCTTCTTTTGTATACTAGGACGACCGCGACCACATAGTGTTAATTGGGTGTACTTCATTGAGATACCAAAGAAAGTATTAATCAGTGTCAGAACTACAGAAGCACGCCACTCTCGTTACAGGGGGGAAGTTTTCAAGTGTTTCTGAAGCGAATAAAAGATTCAGTAGATAGCCAAATTCGACACCGGGAAGCTGGGTTTGCTAAGGATTATTCTTTATCGACCGAATTGCGATACTGTGAATCATTGATGAGTAACAAATTGAATTGGACTTTACGTCAACTTTCTTGATTCTGAAAAGGTTATTCGACAGCCTGAATGGTTAAATCCCATGAAATCCTCTTTTGTTCTATGTAGTGCCCAAAAAGATGGTCACCATCATTTGTAACTCCTACTGAGGACTGAATTATAAAGCCGTGCATGGAAGAGAGCTTACAGATAGGTGTATTCTGAATGAAAACTGATGTCAAAGAAGGATGCATATCCTCACCTTTTCTCTTTCCTTAAGTTACTGACTGGATCGTGAAGACCTTCACGGATTAAGAAAAAGACTTTACAGATTACATAGAGGTTCTATCGCATACACAGCAAAATATACAGATGGAGGAATCCGTTGATTCATCGGCTTCGGCAAGAATAGGCGTTACAGGGGAAAAAGAGAAATCCTGAAGCACCAATTAAATCATACTCTATGGAAAAGCTTTGGATGAGATGGAAACCTTCACGTACGTGGTTACCATCATTGATGAATAAGAAAGATTTGATACAGATGCCAATGCACAGTTTGGCAAAACAAGGGAGCTTTCTTACAATTGAAGAATATCTGTGACTCAAAACAACTGTCACTCAATATGTATGATACTCCAGATCCATTGAACAGAGACCATCAGTAACAATCTGTGGCAGAGAACAGACCAGCTGCCGATCGAGGCAGATATTAAGAAAAGGCGCTTGAGATGGGTGAGACACACT